GAGTTCTTGCAGTTTGGGAGCAAAACTGCATAGCAACCTCACAGCACTTCCTGTTGGGACGGGGTTGAACGTCAGTGGCCGTTGTTCACTGCCGTGCCCCCTCTGCCTTTAGAAAAGCAGACGGGAAGCAGTTCCCTCACAATCAGCTTTGTGCCTCGATGTGGAGAGAGGAGAAGTGAACGGGAAGCCAGAACACCGTCAGTTCACTGCACCTCTATATGGTGGAACTAATATGTACTTCCTATGCAGACGTCATTCACACGGAGGCGTTGGTGGCTGAGCATTTCTTACAATGTTTGGCTTTAATTTTGTCAATTGGTGGTTTTACTAAATTGCCTCGTAGCGAGTTTCAGAACGAGAAACCCCTCAAATATTCAAGGCACTGGAATTTAGTGATCACTGGTGACTTATCATAGTGGCCAACAAGACATGGTACAACCCAGAAAGGCTTTGTCTGAGCCTGCTCAGTATTGTTCTTTTGTTTCTGCACGACAGATTCAACACTTGTTCCCTCATCTCTCACTCACCTGCACTAACCCTAACCCAGTACATGCAATCCATGGGAGCATCTTTATACAGGCAGAAAAACACAGTGAGATTCAGACTTACCTACCAAAGCAATGATAAAAGGGCTCTTTAAGCAGCCTCAAACTCAGCAGAGCTTTTATTATCAATGGCACACATTTTAAATCTACAATAATCTAAGAGATGTATAAAGTCCAAGTTCTAGAAAATAGGTACATTGCTGGCATAGCTTTGTCATTTGTCAAAAATGTTTTTTTTCTCACACCAACTGGCCAAATTTCTCAAATGAATAAATCTTTAGCAGAGTTGAGCAATCAAATATATGGGGACAGGTATAATAGTTTTATTTGTAAATGATAAAAGTCAAAATGATGCAACACTTTGAAAAAAACGATTTAATTGTGAGGATAGGGCAAGTCAAAGTGTTCAGCTTTCAATCAAAAACACGATAAAGACTGATTTGTGGTGATCAATGGACTGGTAGTCAATTACTTAAGGTCATTGAAAATTCTTCAGTGAGGTGAGGTCCTCTCCTGCCATCTAGTGGTCAAATAAAAACATGTACCACCTCCAGTTTTATTTTTGACATTCCATATGAAGACTGAATGAATGCTTATTAGCATCGACTGCTAATTGTTTATAAGTACAAACCCTCTCAGTGTAAGTACCATCTAAGCAAACTCAGGACAAACCCGGCCTGAAGTGGTTTAGTGAGCACCACTAACAAGTGACTGTCATTCAAGAGGAGCCGGTCCACCACAGCCTGCCTGACCCAATTCATGCTTGACCCACGAAATTAAAATGAGCAAATCAGAAACTCAGATTTCACTGGTTAAAATATGAAAACATTAATAAAGAGGCACATAATCAGGGGCACAATGAACGCTCAAAACAGTTTTGACTCAGGTCCATCTGTGGTTCATATTGTTAACATTCCTATTAATTACCTTTGGAGCCCTATGAAATCCTTTTTCTTTTCAGGGTCTGTTTGAGCCAGTTTGGGCTTTCTGTTGGTGTTTTGTTTTTTTCGCAATAAACATTCTGAAAACAATAAATAGTGACCCAAAAAATGAGATCACGGATACAAGCGGTCAAAATGAGTTTTCTCTGCAGGGTGTCAGGGCTCTCCCTTAAGGTGAGAATCTCGGTCATCCGGAAGGGGCTCGTAGTAGACCAGCTGCTCTTCCATTTCGAGAGGAGCCAGTTGAGATGGCTCAGGCTAGCTAGGACGCCTCCCTGGTGAGGTTTTCTGGGCACGTCCAACCTGGAAGACACCTAAAGGAAGACCCAGGACATGCTGGAGGGACTATGTCTCACGGCTGGCCAGGGAACACCTTGGAATTCCCCAGTTAGCCCAAGTGGCTGGGGAGAAGGAAGCCTCTCTGCATGGAGTTGCATGTTCTCCCCATGCAAGCGTGGGTTTCCTCCGGGTTCTCCAGTTTCCCCTACAGATCACAACATGCCCTACAGGTAAGAAACTGTATGTTGCTTTAGATGAAAGCATCTGCCAAATAAATAAACATAAACATAAAGTCTGGGCCTCCCTGCTGCTGCTCCTACAACCTGACCCGGGATAAGTGGATGAAAATGGATGGATGGAAAGCAATAGGTGCGTGTGTCTGTGTTAATTATTTCAATTTGAAAAGTTTTTTCCATATACAAGATACAGCCACAATGGAATGAAAAAATTGCAAATGTGATTTTAAAATGTCTTGTGGAGGACACCAAATGTCTCCACATGCAGACATGACTCAAGCAATGACCCATTACAGCCAGAGCAACACCCTAACACCCTGGTTTCACCTCTGTTTTGTTGTTGGTAATAACTTTTATTAAACACCTCCCTCACTAACAAGAACGTGGCATGCTTTCCAACTGGTACAACCAGAAAAACCAAATCACATGGCTGCAATTCTCTCAACAACCAAACAATAAAGCTAGCTCCAGACAAAAGCAGTCACGGGCCAGTGGACAGCTGTTTCCACCAGAAGACCAGAGGAAGTGTACGGAGGAAAGGCACGAGTTCAAAAGAAACATCCGTTTTACAGAAGGAGCTTCAGCCAGTGAATGATCTGTTATTGTAACAGCTGTATTCATCATCACCCACACGATGGAATGTGATGACAAATCAGTTTGTTGGTTTTACACATTTGAATGTATGTAGAAACACTGAAAATTCTTGTTATCCACGGAAACACGGGCAGTCGTCTAAACAGGAAATGTAGCAAACGAACAGATCAGAGGTTGTGATTTTAATGGAAATGATTTCTTCAGACTTATCTGAAGACCTTTTGCAGCAGCACCTGGAGACCATGCTGACTCCCTCTTGCTGACACGTCTTGCAGGCCTGTGATTGGCCTTTATCGGATCTGCCGTAAAAGACTTCTCTCTTTAGCCCTTCTTTTATTGATAGCTCTTTAAAGAGCAAGTCACCCCCTACCAGAGTCTTACTCCACTCCCACTTCCTGTTTGAAAAATGCAACAAATGTGGTTGCCTGGCAGACCAAGCGGGTGGAGCTGCTAACAAATACACAAACACAGGCTCACAACAACATTGTGACATCATAATGCACCAGCTAACGTCACAGTACATCTTAGCCAATAGCGATGGCAGATTTAAATTAAAGTGCAGTGAAGAGTTTTCACCTGTAGATGGCATAACAGTGAGTTTTAAGCCGAATATTTAAATTTGAACTAAGATGCACTAAAGGGTCAAATTATTGACCACACATGTCTACAGCACAATTAGACACTCGTGGATAGTTTATCGGCAAAAAAAGTTGATTTAGGGGTGACTTGCTCTTTTAAAAGGCTCCCCCTTTCTCAACACTCTGAGCAAGACTCAGACGTCAGGCAGAAATTTTACAAATGAAGTAGCCTGGGTGGGTGAAAATCCGCCAGAATACCTCTCATTTCTGAAAAATCAAAAACATTTCTAAAGTTTACCACATATTTGAGATGTAATGTATATGCTTCACATTGTGGGGGCTTCAGAAATTTTAAATGGTGTTGAAAAAGCTTTTTTCAACAGCATATAAGAGGAAATACAACGTCACGTTTCATATACTTAAAGGTGTAAGATGTAAGAATATACTGAGCATTTTACTGTGAGAAAGTCCCAAAAGAGTCTAATGTTTCAGTCATTTATGAAGGAGGGTTATATTGAAACATGTTTCATATCCAACTGGATTGTTAGTTCTTCTCCTTCCGAAACAAAGGAAGGAGGGACGTAACTATTTACCATGGGTGTGGGGGTGCCATGTCTCCTACGAGCTAATACTGCACCGCCCCCAAATGTAGCTTGACGACGGTCGGCAGAAAGCTCCATTGTTTAAAGTGATTACAGTAACCAAATTTTACCACATGATGTAATTTTTATTTAATTTCTACATAATGCACCTTAAAATGCAATCTGAAATTTATTAAGAAGCACAGCAAAAATAATTTTCAGCGCCTTGGGCCTCCTGACCGGGTTGCGGAAGGCGCTTTATAAATAAAGCTTTGATTTGATTTGATTTAATGAAAGGAACCGATATTTAATTCATGAACCTGAATAAAATGTACTGATTGCTCTTCATCTCTCTCTATCTGAATCTATATGCACATTACAGACCAAAAGTTTGGACACTCCTTCTTGTTCAATGTGTTGTCTTTATTTTCATGACCATTAACATTGGGAGATTCTCACTGAAGGCATCAAAACTATGAATGAACACATGTGGAGTTATGTACTTAACCAAAAAGGTGAAATAACAGAAAACATGTTTTATATTCTACATTCTTCAAACAGCCACCCTTTGCTCTGACTACTACTTTACACACTCTTGGCATTCTCTTGATGAGCTTCAAGAGGTAGTCACCTGAAACGGTTTTCCAACAGTCCTGAAGGCGTTCCCAGAGGTGTTCGGCATGTTGGCCCCTTTGGTCATGAAGGTAAAGAAAACACATTGAATGAGAAGATGTGTCCAAACTTTTGGCCTGTACTGTATACATGTGTGTGTGTGTGTGTGTGTGTGTGTGTGTGTGTGTGTGTGTGTTTCTTTCTTCCCAAGTAGGTTAATGATCCCTCCCTGGTTTACCCACTCAAAGTTTATTTTAGAGACTTTAATTCACAATTACATAAAAATTACTTTATGACCTTCAGATCGTGATTTCCTTGAACCTCCATTAGCACAAGGTAAGGAGTAGCTGGTGTTCCATTATTATTGTTTTTCCACTCTTTCCCTAGCCTGGCAAGCCAGACCATATATGTGAAACTTTGCAAAGCAAGAATTTGGTCTAGATCACTGGGCTACTCTTTCCCGCGATTGTTCATGTGTTTATGTGCTCCTCCTGTCTTACCGTCGCGGTACAGCGGACATCACCTGGCCAGGTGTCTCTCAGTAACCGTTCATTTTGGGAACGTGAGCCCTCACGCGCTCCTGCTCTTATCTGGTTTTAGCCGAGTGGGCGGAGCCTCGGGTCTGCGCTGGAAAAGCGTCCTGCTGGGTGGAGTGAGGCTCAGACGGCAGCAGGATATCGTCGGAGGAAACTCACCTGTTGAAGCGCAGCGCTCTGTCTTTACTTGTTTTTTTTTTATTTTCTGACTCTGAGGCGTTTGCGTTCAGGATGACAGACACTATTTTAACAAACGGCACCGGGGACCGCGGAGGACGCGATAGTTATTTCAAAAAGGTGAGTGTTTTTGTGTCGTCGTTCATGCTTTTGGCCTGTTACACCGCTACTTTTCCACCCAGGTAAAATTGGGATAATTATAGGCTCGGGTTTCTTCTGATCTGGCTTCCTGGGTCTTGTGTTTTCCAAACGGTGGTTTACATCCAAGGGTTCCCTTTACCCCCCCCCCCCCCCCCCCCCCCCCCCCATGGTACTTACTACGTGAGTCAAAATGTGTTATAGCAGGTTAGACTGAGAAACAGCCACTGAAGTCTAACAAACTGGGTCATTTATTTTTAATAATGTCACCTTCAGCTTCAGGTGTGTTACTCTCGGAATGATCCTTCTGGTTGAGCTCCAACCTGTTACACACCTGAAACGTAGGGCTGTTCTTTATGCAACTGTTTTCTCTATTATTTTACCTTTGAACACCCAATTATGGTTATCATCTGACCTGATCACATCTTATAAAGCTCAACGGGGGGCAGCTGCCACTGGGAAAGCCCATCCGCCCTAGGCATGTTTTAGTGCATTTTACAGTGTTGTAATGTCTGACACAAAACACAAAACTCTTGGGTTTAATAGTCTGCTGACTAACCAGAGCAGGACATTTCACCTACAGCAGGAGCTTCATGTTTATGTTTCAAACACATTGATTTCTAAATGAAGATGTTTTTGTCTGTGGCGACATGACAGCTTGGTGTTGTGACAATAAACCTAGACACAAAAGGAAGAGGGCCCCTTATGGAGCTTTATTTATATAAAACTCCAGGAAATAAAAAAAAAAAAAAAGTCACAATACTGAGAATGGTTTAACGTGTTGACAACTTTAATCACGTGAATTGTCATTTAACCTAAACTCTTTTTGTGCATAGTGTTTAATTTTGTTTACCTACCAGTTTTAATATCCATGATTTAACTTTCGGTGAAAGAAATGACTGTAATACTCTATTTATGAAAAGGAAACATCAAGATAAATATGACATTTGAGTTCAAATCCTGGTAAAAACAAGCTGTAGACCGTCTGTGTAATTTTCTACTGATGCTTGAATGCATAAAATGAGGTAAAAAGTAAACCGTTCCTGTAACAATAAGCTCATGCCCCATTGTTTCCACATTAAAAACATCTCCAGCTCTGCCTCTGCTTACAGCTCAACATACAGGAAAATGGCAGCGACATCAGCAGTAAGTCCAGTTTTACGTATCTGTAATGTGTTTTTCTGATCTGCGGTTATGGGAGAAGCAGTCCGCAGCGGATAGGTGACTAATGTGTTTTCACTTAGTTTCATGAGACTCAGACTCTACTGGTCTGCGTCTGGTCCTCTTCACATATTCACAGTTACTTTTTGACTGGAGTGTTTATTCAGACCAGCCTGTTTGGATGGGTATCCGTGTGTAGCCTGTGTGTTAAAATCCCTCTGAATCCCCCTCTGAACGCTGTCTGGATTGTGGCTCTGCGCTGCACTTCCTGTGTCTATAAAAAGGTCAGTGGGAGTCGGGGTCTGGCACAGCTCGGGGATATGATTGAAGACTGCAGAGCCTAATGCCTCATGTTCAAAAGTGCAGCTCTCGTGTCTGCAGCACGCTCTAAGGAGCTAAACTTTACAATGAATGTCGATTTCTTCACCGTGTTCAGTGCCTTTTGTAGACTTAAACATTTAAATTGTGAGCCTGAGTTATGTTGATTTTCTCTTCTTGATACTTGGAATGGTTGTGGCCAGATTTTACCTGAAAGGAGCCAAAATGATCTTTGATCCAGAATTGTTGTATTTTAGAATTTCTTTGTGCTCCTCCGCCTGCGGAGTGAAAACGTCTTTAATGATTAATAAGGCTTCGCTAGGTCTGCCTGGTCCTTTAGGGAGCTGTCGCGGTTTGGGACCGTTTCCCAGCAATTCACTGTTTGGTCTCCAGCTGGCTGAGACCTGACCGGACGGCTGCGGGATGGAAAGATGGCAGTACAAAAAGTCGAATCGGCATGTTCCTTCTCCTCATCCTCTGCTGGAGAGAGCACTGACGTAGCATCTGGCTCAAGGCTTTGCTTCAACCAGACCACAGACACAAATTGACAACATGTGCTCTGGTTCAAGAACCAGACGAGTTCCTCTGACTAGCTTGTCCGAGAGTGGTTTTCATAGGGAAAGAACGAATGAAAGAGCATTGAACAAAGAAGTTTATTTTTAAAGATATAGATAACACTACAACTCTGTCAAGACATTCTTGTCTGTTAAAGGATTTAAAGAAATAATTTCCACCTTTTAATATAGGGCATAACAAATACAGCTCATAACTGGGTCATGCCTGAAGCCCCTCTTGGCCAATAACCACTTTAGTAAAGGCTTGTATAAGCCGACTACTCATTGTTCTGCATGATCTTTCTAAAACCTCGGTTATACAACTGCAAAGCTGTTAGCTGTGTGATGAATATGATGCTGGACTGTATTGGCTTAGTGTTTTGCTCTAATGAAGTGTTCTGGACAGTGGTAAAGAGAGGCCGTACTGTTGCAGCATGCCGTTGAATCGGGGTTGGATCCATGTGAAACTAAAGGGGTCAGAAAAGACAGTGGCGGAACAAACCGCTCAGGTTAAAACCAGAGAGGACAACTCATGGTTGTTCAAGGCATTTAAGAACCCTAACCTCTGTAAGTCCTCTGCTGAGTAGATGGGGATCTTTACACAGCAAATGACGCAGTTCCAATGGAAACCGTGGGAGCAACATGGCACAGGCTATCTCATGTGCAACCAGCAAAAAGATTATTTATTTATTTGCATAAGTGCGCCCCTAGAGTAAGGCTAAGACCTAATGGTCATTAGTCTGACTTATGTAGCGATAAGGATAGTTGATATAGGATCGTAGGCTGTGTCCTAATTCAGTCCTTTGAAGGACCTAGCCTACCCAGTAGACGTAGACCAGGTCCTTCGTCCAAAGCCAGAAAGTGAGCAGATGTGAAATTGGATGGTTCAGCCATCAGATTTATTTCTAACCTTAACCTCAGCATGGTTCCTGTTGCCTAGCAACCCCTAATGGCTCCAAACAGAAGCTAGAGAAAATGGAGTTTGTAGAGCTTTTTTTTATTATTATTGTTTCCTCTGAGAGCTGCAGCTACTCTACCCCAAAACTAGCGTGATTATGATGCTTTTACTTTGAAAAATATAATACAAAACCAGAATGACAAAAGCCAAACAACTCCAGTACTTCAAACCAGGTGTTACTGAAGTTTAAAACTTTAATTCTCTCCCAGTTTGTCTGCCGTTTTTACAAGGAAAAAAACCCATTCAGCTCACAATGAGTCCTGCGATTGACCCTTTGCACGTGATGTCACGCCACTCATGTGACCGCCCCCTTCGCCATGATGGACGGCAAAAAGACCGTTTACACCCGTAGAAACTCCAGTGAAGCTAGTGAAAACAAGCCAGTTTGTAGCCTTTTATCATTTCTATTTAGTTGATTTGACAGTAAAATGGTTTTAGCTTGCTGCGTGGTCGGCTGCACTAACGGACAACTCAACTCGTTTTTTTTTTTTTTTACAACTTTGATGGAGACTGAGGACGGAGATGATTGCAGCGATCAATCAATCAAGCGGACTAGCAGCCCTCAGATTAGCAGCGAACATGTTTTTAGCGGGTAAGATTAACGTTCATTTATTTCACGAGGAAGACGGGGACATGGATAAATGTGATGTGTTTATACAAGTTATTGATAATCCTGATGGATGGGTATTTCACCACGGAGGCTGCGCTCCGTCCACTGTAGTGTAAAGCAAGATAATTATTAACAATATTAAAGCTCCGATGTATGATTACGTGTGTTAAAATTACATTATTTATTTATACGAGCGTCATCGTTCGGAGATCTTCTCATTCCGGTGTGAGAGCAGCAGCTGAACCCGGTAACACCACCAGCAACAGAAGCTGGTAGGGACAATCAGCTTTGGTGTAAAGTGAAACGCTGTTTACAACATAAAGTTGCCGGGTGAATTCAGGCAAAGTCAGCAACATGTTTACATCGGTGAACAGCTGCAGAGAGAACGTAAGCTAATGGTAAGCTAGTTAACATACCGCTCTCTATGAGCCCCCGCTAGATGCGCTACTTCTTCTGATAACTGAACTGGGCATGAACTAGTTGAAGGAATACTGGATGAGTTTTGTTTTTGTTTTCATCGCAAAAACAATTTCAGGCTCTACTTTTCCCTTTGTTTAGTAATCGTGTTGCTCACTGTTTACATGCTTGTGCCGTCCACCATGGTGGACGTGATTAGGTGACGTCGGTGCAAAGGGTCAATAGGGTGTGCTACGAAGGGAACACAGACCCGTCCTTCAAATCTGTGGAAATAAAGGACACATTTGGAGGAGTCTTTAAATTTGAATAAACAATGAATAGTCAATAATAATCAATAATAAAACATGAAAGGAAACAAGTTCTCTTGTATTACGTTTAGTTTCAGTACATCAGCTTTATGGCCTTATGAAGTATGGGCAGTTTTATTATACAGCTCAGAGTTATGTGGTCAGAACTCATGTGGAACTGTTCATTCTGTTCTCCAGTTGAACAATGAAGTTACCATGGCAACTATCGATCACGGGTTACACCTTTAAGTATAATAATTGAATGATGGCGTGCTTGCTGGCGTCAGCCCACGCCCTTTCCACTCACATGCTAGTGTCTTCATCCTGTCGTCATCTGTTCCATGTGGCTCGTTGGTTGTGTGTGGAGAGCCGTTGTTTGTATTAATGGTTAATCATTAAGCTCTTTGGTCCCTGGAGTGTTTACACAGGATCAGCCTGGTGACCAGGGCAGATTCGTAGAAGTGTTGGAGTGTTTAGTTAAAACGTGACCTCTGTTTGGGAGCCTACTACCTGCAGTGTTAAAACCTCCCTCCTGAGAGGGACGTTGTGATGTTCCTCAGTCCTGTTCTGCTCCCTCATTTAACAGGAATCTTTACGAGAAAACCCGCCATGCATGACTCAGATGTCAAAGTGGAAACTGACAGCTCATATTTGTACAAAGCTCTCCTTAAGAGCTAGGAATGAAAGTAAAACTTATATACTGCCAGTTTGATGTACAGTTTTTAATTATGGTGTTCATCCAGGGCAGCTAATGAAGAGGAAACAAAGTGTGCCAGAGAAACGGCCATTTTGGATCCACGTTTCTAAGCGCTCGTTTGAATGCAGGTCTAAAATGTAAGGTAGTTTGAATGATAATGATAAATGACCAACACTTCTATTGCACCTTTCAGAGTCAGAGGGCTCCAAAGTGCTCTACACTCAAGGTGGGTTAAGTGTCTTGCCCAAGGACACAACGGCCGCATCCTTGGCTGGAAGCTGGGATTGATCCTACAACCTTCTGCTTATGGGACATCTTGCTCTACCTCCTGAGCTACTGCTGCTTTTCAAAGATGAACTCTAGCAGTAGCCCCCCCCCCCCCCCCCCCATCACACACACACACATAAGGACCGCTATAGAAACCCAGTCATGCTGACATTTTCGGCCTAACTGGTTTTACTGGGACGGCTGGATTCTCTGCATTTCTTTAACCAGTGACGATGACAAGAGCCTGTTGTGGCAACAGCCTGCTGACGCAGTGAGATGGTGCTGGAGACGAGAGGCGGTGCTGCTTCACACACACGTTGTTATCACTGAGTTTTCCACCTAAATACATGGCTGAAGTTGCTTTTCTTCCACACCCAGCTGTTTTCCATTGAACTACTGAGCACAGATTATGTGCTTTTCTCCTAAGCTAAAAGCAGGAGGAAATGTTATGATGGCAACTTTTAGATAGTTTTCAAGCAGTATTTTATTGTAATGATGACCAAGAATTTGTATAATATAAGATTCTGAGACCACGGTCTTGAGTCGGAAAAGGGTAGAATGCCTTTTCCGGGTCAGGGATGAGGTCCTGCCTCAAGTGGAGGAGTTTAAGTATCTCAGGGTCTTGTTCTCGATTGAGGTAAAGATGGTGCGTGAGACCGGTAGCCGGATTGGTGCTGCGTCTGCAGTGACGCAGGTTTTGTACCGGCCTGCTGCGGTGAAGAGAGAGCTGAGCTGGAAGGCAAAGCTCTTGATTTACCGGTTGATCTATGTTCCTTACCTCACCTATGGTCACGAGCTTTGGGTAGTGACCAAAAGAATGAGATCGCGGATACAAGTAGCTGAAATTTGTTTTCTCCACAGGGTGGCTGGACTCTCCCTTAAGGTGAGAAGCTTGGTCATCCGGGAGAGGCTGCTCCTCCACATCGAGATGATCCAGTTGAGGTGGCTCGGGCATCTAAGGATGTCCCTGGTCGCCTCCCTGGTGAGGTTTTCTGGTTATGTCCAACTGGGAGGAGACCTAAACGAAGACCCAGGACATGCTAGAGGGACTATGTCTCTTGGCTAGCCAGGGAACGCCTTAGGATTCCCCTGGAAGAGCTGGCCCAAGTGGCTGGGGAGAGGGAAGTCTGGGCCTCCCTGCTTAGGCTGCTGCCCCTGCGACCGAACTCCGGCTCAGCGGCAGAACATGTATGGATGGATGTACTGCAAGATAGTTTTCCAGATCAGTTAAAGTGGCATCTGTAGGGTTTTTAACCCTGTATGACTTCATGATGCGCTTTTACAAAAAGTACACTAATGCATCTATTAGTGATCATAATCAGACTATATTCAGCATGAATCAGCATCTGTCCAAGAGTCGACATTGCCCTCAAACATAAAACATAAATAGTAAACATCTCATGAGCTACTTCACTGCCTCAATTACCATAATTTCTGGACTATAGAGCGCACCTCAATATGAGCCGCACCCGGCTAAAAGCCTCAGATATCTACTGAACTGAAAACGTAGTTTAACTGAACGTAACTGAACTGATCATTATCAAACAAAACAGAAAAGTTATTGATTAGTTTATTCATCGTCCTCCTGCGCACTGAAACCACCGAAGTCATCTTCTTCTTCTTCAGTGTCGGAGTTGAACAGCCTCAGAAGAGCTTCGTCACATACCTTTTCTGTGGCGATGTCGTTGTTGCTCTCCGTGTTGCTGTCATCATTCCGGGGTGAAGCTGGGAAAACAAGCAGCGCCGTTTTACTGTGAAATAAATCCTCCTGGGTGCTTTCGTAGCACTTCTTTAACCATTCCTTCATTAGACTTTCCAGCATCTATCCTTTCTGGTTGATTAAAGCCGCACCTCATTATTAGCCGCATGGTTCAAAGCGTGGGAAAAAATAGCGGCTTATAGTCCGGAAAATATGGTAACTAGCTTAGAAATGCAATATTGAGTCCATCCAATTATATGTGATGCATTTATTTCTGCTCTCGTGATGCAAACTATGGCATCATGTATTTCTTCTGACAAAACAAAGATCCCAACCACCAGACCCATTTTGTACTGTAGAAACTCTCACAGCTGAAAAACATGTATTTATAAGTATATTTGATGATTTTTATTTCTAATATGTTTGTGTCTGCATGTCCTGTCTCAGGGTTGCAGCCCAAATGCACAGACCGGACGAAGCAAACTGCAGAACAAGCGAGCCACCCTGAACCAGCAGATCATCAAACAGATGAGGATGAGGGCTGGAGCTGAGAACCTGCTGAAGTAAGACACATGCACACAGCCTAATGCATAACACATAAATTATGAGGATGCACATGCAAACAGAGATTTGCATGTGCTGCAACAACCAATCGATTAAATTGATAAAAATCTGCATTTCTTTATCGGATTGTTGTGTTGTGCAACATTTTTTCGTGTCGTGCAACCTTTAACAAGAGCAGTCGGCTGAGCAAACAGCCCCAAATGACTGTTTGCTCAGCCGACACCTCGCGGTGTGTGCCTGATTTTCACTGAGTTTTCTGCCTCATGAGACGCTGAGGTGAATATCTAACTGGTTTGATATTTTACGCCTCACTGAGGGTAAAAACTCACGCTACGTGAGCTGCTGGCTGAGCTGAAATATTCTAGTGGCCAATCAAAGAGCGTTCTCCGCTCACATGACCCTAAGATGTATTCAGATGCAGCCCCCTGCCCTGTTTGCGTGTCAGAAAATAAACAAAACGGTACCTTGTGGATTGATGAGCCCACTGTTTCCACTACCCTATTGAAGGATTCAGGTTCCAGGCGGTGGTACTGTCGGAAGGATTCTGGGTTGTCAAGGCGCATCTCTTGCAGTAGATTGGCATAAACGCCTTGCCTGGCCCTTTTTTCCAGCCACCGTGCCCATACTTTCCAGGATTGTCGGCTAGCAGTGCCTACACCACGCTCAGGACAATCCAGACTCTTCTCATGCATCGTTCCACAAATGTGGAATGACCTTCCGAGCACTACAAGAACAGGGGCTTCCTTTTCAATTTTCAAAAAACTCCTGAAGACCCTGCTCTTCAGAGAGCATCTTCTAAACTACCACCCTTCCTGCACCCGTCCCCCCTCTCTACTGCCCACTCCTTGTTCCCTCCTCTCCATGATTGATGTCAAGTTGTTGTTGTTATTGTTGTTGTTAGCCTCAAGGGCAACATGTTGCATGCGATAAAAAAAAACTGTGTGCAAGAAACTCTTTGTAGACATAGCACTCGGGCGCATCTTTTCAAGTAACTTTTTTTTCCAGAACTTTATTGAACAAAGGTAAGTTGCTTGCTATTGTGTGAGGAAGAAGCTTTTTACTGGTGCACAATATGCTAATCTAGGTGCTGTGGAGGAAAACAGAGAAACCAGCAAAGACACAAAGGCAGAAACGGCCAAACGTTTGGAATCAAAAGTGCAACTACGGGCAGATTAGCTAATGCTAGTGGTTAGCAGGCTCACACTCAAGTGGGGTTCACGATGGTCTGGAAACTAAGAAAATCTAAATTCTTCAAGCGGAAGAAAAGTCGAGATCATCCTGTTTATTCTTAGCTGTCTGCAGCGCTATGGAGCAGAACCCCTGCAGTCGGGTTGCTGCTTCGAGTCTGCTCTGCTCAACACAGCTGCAGGATTTTGACAAGCCACTGTAGCATGTAATTCACAAACGCATCTATCTTTGAACATTTTTTAAAACTGGACTATTGATAACACGTACATAATAAATGTCACCATTACATTTTTAGCAGTAGATATTAAATGTTATTAGCATTTCCATGAGCTTACTACTGAACATGTTAATGAAATACATTACATTTTACTGATCATCGTTTTATTATGGATATATTTAGGTGATAGCATGTTGGTAATTGTCACCTTGGAAAAACCTCCAATTTGTTTTGTTTTGTTTTATTTGACCAAGTTACCCCCAAATTCCACTACCTCCGCTCCGCTACGCTTCGGTCCGCCCCCGCCTTCTGCAGCCGCTCGCTTCCGAACTCAATTTTCTGGTACCCGCTCTACAACGGCTCCGCTCCGGTGCGGAGACCTGAGGTGGGCAAAGAAGCATGCGCGGGATTTTCGAGATCTTGCGATACAGTCCGAGCAATAAACGCGGAAGTTAGATCCAAACACCCGTTGTGTGGGAGAAGCATCGAAATGAACTGTTTAATCCGCCCATCATTTGTGTTGAGAGATCAGCAGTGTTTGGATCAACAAAGTGTGACTACTTTGATAGTAGAAACTGTATTTATGGCTTACTTTTGTGCATTTAAACTTCAGCCGCCATTGATAGTTGTTAAAAGTTGTTAAACCTGTGCATATGAAACAAAAAACGCCTTTTGTTTATCAATTTAGTGTGAAAAATGGAAGTTGTGCTTGCTCCTTTTCCTGTTGGGCCGTTGTGATTTCTGTCCATTTACTGCGGAGGTGCTCCGGCGTCCGGCGAAAATAGGATCGATTCTATTTTTGCCGGACGCCGGAACAGAGGGCGGCGCACGGCGCCGCACTGCCGGAGCATGGCCGCAGTAGTGGAATTGCTCTGATTAACTACAACGGGACCGATTTTGCTCCGGCGTTCGTGTCGGAGCGGAGCGGAGGTAGTGGAATTGTAGTTTACCTCCATTGTTGGTCTGTAACCACAAAGATTAAATGATATCAGTGTTATGGGGACCAGCCTGGCCATTTGAATGCAGGAGCCAGGATCACCCAGTCCTGGTGATCAGCTCGACACCGCCCCTCCTCCTCCTCCGCTATTCCGGGCTGTGAGGAGCACAGCTGAGCTGAATCTCTCTGACGACACACACCTGGGATAAAAAGGCTGTGCCTTCAGCAGTCTAGGAGGCAGCAGTGCAGGGGTCCTGCTGTCCTCCAGGCAGTGTTGCCAGATCCAAAATCCCACAATATCGTACAGAGAGGCTTAAATTATCGTTTTTCAGTACAAATTATCGTACATTATAAATTTGATAATAACGTTCTATAAACGACTTCTCACTCCAATATAATATAACAAAGAAGGTGTTTTAAATTGCCCTGTTTAAATAAACATCTTTAAAACCAGTAATATAATGCCTATAAACATGCAGAGTGTGTCGGCACCACTCCGACCTCCACGCATTGACACAATATGCACATTTGCGCAGTCCTATTTATTTCATTTCTACATAGGTCTTTCTTTTAAGATTAGAAGCCATTGTCTCGTCGCTCTGTCATCCTAGATAAGACTTAACTCGGCGTGCTCGCGGGCAAAAAGCAAAAACTGGCGGGACACTGCCACATTATATAACCTTACAGTTTCTCGCGAGAGTAGGCCCTATCAATGTGATTGGGCTATTTATAGTACAGACCCAGAGTCCGTATTTGTAATAGACACAATAGCATAAACCTGTAAGCACTGAGGCGAAATCTGACTTCAGAACAGTTTAAAATTATGTAACTGACTTGGGAAAGCCACAGCAAAAGACGGTGTTACTAGGTGCAATGTGAAATTATCGTACATTTGAGTATTTTTGAAACTATTGATCGTACATCGTACAGAGCCCAAAATTATGGTACAAATACGATAATTATCGTACATCTGGCAACACTGCCTCCAGGCCTCAGTAGTTGCCCCTCCTCAGGGGAGAGGAGGAGGGGCGGTGTCTGGCTGGTCACCGGGGCTGGGTGATCCTGGCTCCTGCACCTGAAGAGGCCAGGCTGGTGGCCATAACAATCAGGTGGAAGATGCCTTCAGAGTGACTTGAAAGTAGGGCTGCACGATATTAGGAGAACCTGCGTTATGCGATAACAGTGATTAATATTGCGATGACGATATTACTTGCGATAAATAAAAACTTAACTCAGGAACAAAAATAATCAAAAGCAAAGAAATAAAAAAGACAAAAAAATCATAAAAATGAGAAAAGCAAGAGATGTGAGGAAAGGGAAAAAGAAAATGAACAAGAAAAGGCGATCAGTGGATCACGAGAAAAGCAGAATCAGCAGAACATAGTCACGTGTTTGCCAACTATCAGAATTAAGTGCCGTCCGCCTCGGGGGTGGGTATCTAACCTATGAGAACCCACCCAGTTGGCCAAATGGGTGAAGAGCTCTATTTGATTAGTTAAAAACCATCATGCTTCCATTTGATTGACAGAAGACATTATGTGTAGCAAACATTTGAGCTGACCATTCATCGCGATATTTATCTGTTCTTTGCGATATGCATGTTGCGCATGCTGATATCGAGAAACGATATTTGCGATAAATTGTGCAGCCCTACTAGAAAACAAAGAACCACTGTGATATTTTACCCGCTGATGAGTCGGTTTGATGATGGCGAAGCCTTGTTTACAGCCACTAACATGGACGCAGGATCCCTCTCTGACAGCTGGAGTAGCTGCTTGGATTTGCCTGTCACCCTTTAGGCTCCAGTAAGAAGTCCACTTGACTTCTGTTTGATGTTGCTTCATCAGAAATCCGTGTAAAAAAGACAAATGGCTAGCAGCTTTGTGCCAGGTGAGACAGAGGTGAATGTTTGTGGGGTGATGCTATAAAACTACTGGTTTCACAGGCTGTGGTGGTTTGCTGTAGTTTACATGGTTGCACCTGTAGCCTGTTGATCTCCCTGTTAGGCTGCGGTGACGGTTATTTGTCTCATGGTGTCAAGTTTATGGAAAAGTTATGTTGTGTCCAAACAGTGAAGCTGAAGCTTCTTGAAACCACAGAGAAGGATACGTCTGTAGCGTGAAGGTGTCTTTGGTCCCTGTCGGAGTGGTTAGGATCAGCGAGGGTGTTAAACAGCAGCTGGGATTGTGTGACTCCTTCCCTGGCTGCCCATGTCATTAATCAGAAACCTGGTCCAGAGACATCAGTTCTGTCTGTCTGGACAGACTTTATGAAACCGATTATTTGGCTGCTTTATTCTGTAAGTACAGTGGCAGAAATTCTACTGGTGGTATATTGCTCATAACAAAAATAAACCAAATTTAAAGGTGTGGTTGACTGAAAAATATTTGTAATGATTTATTTCTGATTATAATCAGTCACTCTGAGCTTTTCATGCAGGCTGAACATGAAAACGGTCTCCTTTACCTATGCCCTGCGTTGGCTTCTGATTGAAAATAGATGGTGAAATTCTACAGTTTGAAAATTCTCACACTGTGAATTTGCATTCTTGGCCTTGCCCATCTTGGATTGTGCCCGCCAACAGAAAGGATTAAAATTATAATTGAAGAGAGGAGAGAGAGCAGAGAGTGTGTTGGTGATGGTGACTTTGCAACATCGTTGAATACTTTGTTAGCCTATCAGAAGTGAGGAGTGTGCACATCACTAATAATAATGAGCCATCCTGCCGTTTTCAGCCCACCTCTGCAGCAGCAGCTTCTGCATTTAAGAACAGGAGCATCATAGCTTTTTTAAAAAGTCTCATAAGGCACTGATTTACACTAGAGAACACTGCAAATGTATCAAATAAATGAGGAAACCACACCTCAACGTGGATTTTATTTGAGAAATTGTTGGTTTTCTTGATTTGTGAAGATGTTTTTAAATTGAGCTGTTCAATTTAAAGCGTGTGTGTGTGTGTGTGTGTGTGTGTGGGGGGGGGGTTCCCACCTGCAGCAACATTCTTTCGGCATTTCTCAGTTACAGTTTTGCTCCCAGGTCCATTTTGAAGTCGTTACTTACAGACAGTCTGCGTGCGTGTGTGTGTGTGTGTGCGCGTGTGTGTGTGTTACCACATCAAATTTTAGCTCAATATCTATAAAACTGGTGAATTAGATGTTTGCCTGGTTTCTCGTATCGAAGGCTCATTTCTGCGTCGCTGCTTTCATGAGATATTTTTGATTGTTTTACATTTGGAGTAAATAAAATTTGTGTTTGTCACTCACCGTCATCGACTCAGTCACCTCCCTTTTTTCTTTCCTTCCTCTTGTTCTACATTCCTCCCGCTCGATCAGCAGCAGGTGGAGTCGGCCTGGTCCGACCAGTTCTCTCCTCTTTTCCCTTCTTTTCGTCTGCAGTGATTTTTAGTTTTAACGTCATAACTCTTCTTGTTAGAGGCTGTTTTAATAAAAACAAGAACTGGACTGAGTTTGACATTTTCCACAAGGATGTGGAAGAGCAACAGAAGACAGCTACTACAGGAAATGGGACTGAGCCCTTAAAGCATGAGTTTAATACGAATAGGAATACTAAGAGCACTAGCCACGTTGCTTCAGACCAGAGGCCCAAGGCCTAACAAGTACTTCAATCTTGCTTAAGCATAAATCAGCCTCTCCAAAGAAACCACAGCTGTTGGCTTCCAGTCGGGTTCCCATGTACCGCGATGACATTAGGTATTGAAATTGAGTTTTAATAACAGCTTCTGGTCTAGTTTGCCTTTGTCCTTTCCAAACCACAGCACATCTACCTCCTCAACCTTGAAATGATTCCAAAATGGATCAATCTCAGAAGCCCGTTTGCTGGCCAACAGGAGCACATGCAGTAGTAATGTTCTTAGACAGCATTCATGTTGGGGAGTCAAAGCTCAGCCTTTTGGGGACTGTTGATAAATATTAAACTGTAAGAACACCATAAAAGATCAAACAACCAAATCCTTCGCTGGTTGAAGCATTTTACTGAAAGCTGCCATCAGCTAACTACACCTAACCACACCTCCCGCTTGTGTTAAAATGACATTGTAATTACAGAGCAGACAGACCTGAGGTGTTACAGAGATGCACTCCTGGGTGACAGGTTTTAGATGAGATGCCTGCAGGACACGTGTGTGTGTGTGTGCGCGCATCCATTTGTCATGACCTGTAGTGAACTTGTTGAGGTTGGTGCATGTAGATGTGAGCGTTATCTCCTTCCAGCACACACGCACGGTGCTGCCAGTGTCACATAAATCCCTCCTCACAAAGCTTCAGGATACTTTAAGCATGAATGTGAAGACGAGCAGCCTTATCTCTGCCACACAGTGAACCCTAACCCATTCATCTAACAGATGCTTTATGTTCACATAAAAACACTCAGACAGATTTTGAATGGTCACCTTTAAAACCTTAACACAAGGCTACTCCGATACATTACATTGTGTCATTGTTAACTGTTTGATGTGAACATCTGTTTTTGATGTTGTTACATCATGTAAACGGTGTAAAGTTTGAGAATGTTTATTTTGTTATGCACTTGGTGAAGTTTACTTAATCACTCCCCTTAATTCTGATACGGTTGCCCCAAATACCCTTCATAGTAAATGAGTGGTAATGAGTCTAAATCTGGTCTAAAGGTTTCTTAGCATCATAAATTCATTCACTGCTTCTTAGGTGATGTTTGAAATAAAGATGGGTGGTATACCAAAAATTCCCGATACTCTCTGTTATCGACATCGTTTTACCCATGTCCGTGTATCAGGTATTAAGAAAAAGGAAAGATCTGTGTAGGTTGCCTGTGTTCATGTTCCTTTAGATCAGCAGCACTCAGTAGACAGCCCGCGGACATAAAGAGCCCCCTCTTTCTAGCCCCCGGACCACCAGCACCCCCTCGGACTGGACCTTTGAAGGCAGGGGCACTGCCCCTCCCTTCATGTGGCCCTTGGCCACTTATATTTGAGTACCCTTGGTTTAGAAGCTTAATTTTCATTTTAATCTGTTGTTTTCAATAACCTCTACTGTCTGTCGTGTTCAGGGCTACAAACAACAACAAGGTGAAGGAGATGGTGCTTCTGGAGTTGAGCTACGTTAACTCAGACCTGCAGCTCCTGATGGGACAGCTGGAGGGACTCAACAGCTCAATGGAGGTCTACCAGAACACAGAGTAAGGAAAAGGCATATGAGAAGTTTGTAGAGTGGGGAAAAAATGCTTGCAATATATTTGACAGTTGCTGTTTTACACTGGTCAAAGTAAAAATGACTTTTATGTCATTTTTACGTTGTTTTTGACTGTTAATATATTAACCAGATTGCTCAAGATGCAAAAAAAGACAATTTCTCTCTAATCTAAGATTGCTACGATAACAGGTGTTGAAGAAAGGAAGACACCTTGTGCTCATTGGTAGCCAGTAAGAACCAGATGGCTCTGACACTGTTCTGTGAGGGTTGAGCGAGCCGTCTTTTACATGAATGGAGCATGATGAGTGATCAGGGCCCTGCAGAGGAGCAGAGACAGTGAGAAAACACAGACAAGGTGATGGTTGTTGAACTAGACCAACAGGTTTTTCTGACACAAACAACAACAAGGAAACAATCTGCTAAACCCACATGCAAATGAAAATAAAAGCATGTAGCTAACTGTTTGGCTCCTTCCTGGGTGTGAGTGTTGGTGACTGGTTTTGCTGCATGTGGCTAAAAATAAACCACAGTCATGACGAATAGGAAGTTAAATTATGGTGTTAAATATAAGTCACAATGTAAATGATTTAGTCTTAATTACGCTCTGACGTTATTCAAATCTAACCTCAAGTGCACAAAAACACACAGCTCATTAGTCCGAGTCTTTATTAAACAAACACTAAGCCCAAATGGAAAAACCGATAATGGTGGAACCTCCTTCTCTGTTGGAGATCTGCTGCTGTGTTTTGGATCATGTTCTGTTTTATGACTCAGTTTGGTTTAATCAGCTGTCAGACAAATGGACTCACATCTGACTCTAGAACACTTTGGTCTACAAAGGAGTACATGTTGGACTCAATGACTGTAAGGAGCCCCAACCATTAACCCTCCACCACTGATTATCCACTGTTTGAGATGTTTTCTACTTGTTATTTATCCCTTTTTCCTGTAAAATCTAAGTTCTTTGGAAATAGGTTAATATGTTTCTGAGATTGATTAGACTGATTGCAAAACTGTAAAATCACTCTTGTTTGTAGTTTTATTTCGTCCAACAGGCCCTTACTCTGAGTTTTTGGATCAGATCTCAGATTTTTTTATCTGATTTGGTGCTAAATACTGATAAGGTCATTGTAGTGGGGGATTTTAACATTCATGTGGACTTTGAAAATGATTGCCTCAATGTAGCCTTTAGTAATATCTTAGGCCCTGTCCACACATAGCCGGGGATCTGCCAAAACGTGGATATTTTTCTACGTTTTGGCCTGTCATCCACACGAAAATGAAGTTTTTTCACACGAAAACGGATCTTTTTAAAAACTCCGGCCAAAGTGAAGATCTGTGTTTTCTCCGTTTTGGGTGTCTGCGTGTGGACAAACAAAACCGGAGTTTTAAGGTCCGCAACGTCACTTTCCGCGACAAAAAAATGCTGACATCACGTGTGCGACCTGTGTTTACACTAGCCGACAGCATGGATGCCCTCAGAGCTGCGCTCGCTTTATCAATTGTCCAAGCGCTTTTTGCTTGTTTGTTTTTGCAAGCGGAATTACTGCTCCTTGCGGAAGACCACAGACGAAGGACGAGGTTAAGAACGGGGGAAGTACTGCCGCCTACAGGTCTGGCATATCCTTAACAACGTATTTATCCGGGTACGTGTGGACAGAGTTTTTTTTTTTTCCAACGCGGTGGTGTGGATGCAAGTTTTTGGAGGGGCGGATATCCATTTAAAAAAAAAACCCTGCTACGTGTGGACTAGGCCTTAGACTCAGTTGGTTTTACTCAAAAGAATACATAGCTCCACCCACTCCTGCCATCATACATTAGACCTTGTGCTGACATATGGCATAGAGTGTGAGGAAATAACGATCTTTCCACATAATCCAGTCCTCTCGGACCACTTTCTGATAACCTTTGTTTTTTATAACTGAGTTCTCGAGACATGAATGTAAATTTCACTATAGTCGGTCTCTATCTGACAACGCTGTTGCATCTTTTAAATCAACTGTTCCATCTTTACTGTCCTCAGCATCTCAGAGGAACGTAGCAGAGGGCAATATTTTCATTTCTAGCCCCTCACAAATTGATGCCTTCGTTCATGTTCTTTCTTGTTTATTTGTGGCATTAGATGATGTTGCCCCTTTAAAAAAGAAGGTAATTAGGGACAGGAAGTTGGCTCCCTGGTTTTAATCCTCATTTACGAACTTTAAAACAAAACTCTAGAAAATTGGAGAGAACATGGCGCTCTACGCACCATGAGGAGTCCTACTTATCCTGGAAAAATAGTCTTGTGCTTTATAAAAATAAGCTTCAACAAACTAGAACTGCTTATTTCTCAGCGTTAATTGAGGAGAATAAGAATAATTTTAAACTTCTTTTCAGTACAGTTGCCAAACTTACACAGAATCATAGCTCTGAACCATCTATTCCCTTAGCCCTCAGCAGTAACGACTTTATGGGATTTTTCACGAGTAAAATTAATTCTATTAGAAATAAAATCATTAGCATCCTCCCTAATGCGATTTCTTCTTCCTCAGTAAGTGAGGCAGCATCAGAGGTTACTGTAGAACATAATCTGTGTTTTAACCGTTTTGATCCAGTTGAGCTTTCAGAGTTATCAAAAATATTAGCTTCATCTAAACCTTCAACTTGCATTTTGGATCCAATCCCAACCAAATTATTTAAAGATGCATTTCCTTTGGTTACTGCCCCCATTCTAGATATAATCAATCTATCCTTAGTAAATGGATATGTACCACATGATTTTAAGGTTGCTGTAATCAAACCTTCACTTAAGAAGCCTTCCCTGGATCCAGATGATCCAATGAATTATAGACCAATATCTAACCTTCCATTTTTATCCAAAGTCCTGGAGAAAATAGTGGCCATCCAAGTATGTGAGCATTTAAACACTAATGCTCTGTTTGAGGAATTTCAGTTGGGTTTTAGAGAGTATCACAGCACTGAAACTGCATTACTGAGAGTTACAAATGATATTCTCATGGCCTCAGATAAGAATCTTGTGTCTGTTCTAGTCTTGTTAGATCTCAGTGCTGCCTTTGACACAGTAGATCACAATGTTCTTGTAGAAAGACTTGAATATGTTGTAGAGATCAAAAGAAAAGCGCTAGGCTGGTTTAAATCCTACCTGTCTGATAGATTTCATTTTGTAAATGTACATGACAAATCTTCTCCAGGGTTACTTGTGGAGTACCACAGGGTTCAGTGCTTGGACAAATTATTTTTACTATATATAATGCTCTCAATTGGTAAAAATCATTAGACAGCATGGGATAAACTTTCACTGTTATGCTGACGATACTCGGTTATATTTATTCTTTAACCCTGATTAACCTAATCGGTTAGGTAGATTACAGGCTTGTCTTGAGGACATAAAAAATTGGATGACTCTAACATTTTTGCTTTTAAACCAAGACAAGACAGAAGTTCTCAACTTTGGACCAGAAATCCAGAAAAGGAAATTGCTTAGCCAATCGCCTGACCTGAATGGCATTACATTAATCTCCGAGAACAAAGTAAGGAACCTTGGTGTTATCTTTGACCAGGACATGCCATTCAAATCCCAAGTTAAACAGGTTTGTAGGATTTCCTTTTTCCACCTTCGGAATATTGCTACGATTAGAAGCATACTTTCCAGGAGTGATGCTGAAAAACTAGTTCATGCATTTATTACATCAAGACTGGATTACTGTAACTCATTACTCTCAGGAAGTCCACAGAATGTAGTTAAAAGTCTTCAGCTTGTCAAAAATGCTGCAGTTAGAGTTCTGATGAGAATTAAAAAGAGAGATCGTATCTCTCCTGTCTTGGCTTCCCTACATTGGCTACCTGTTAAATTCAGAATAGATTTTAAGATCCTCCTTCTCACATATAAAGCTCTTAATAATCAAGCTCCATCATACATCAGTGATCTGATTGTTCCATATGTTCCTAACCGAGCACTTTGCTCTCAGACTGCAGGTTTACTGGTGGTTCCCAGAATATCTAAAATTAGGATGGGAGGCAGATCCTTTAGTTATCAGGCTCCTCTCCTGTGGAACAGCTCCCAGCCTTAGTCCGTGAGGCAGACACCTTGTCTACTTTTAAGACTAGGCTTAAAACATTTTTATTTGATAAGGCCTATGGTTAAAATCTGATGTTAGCCTAGAACTGGACAAGTGGGGGAGTAGAGGGAGGTGGAGAGTACAGTTGGTAAAGACGGCTCTCCCTTGCCCTGCCTCCAACATGCCTCCATCTAAATAGGATAGATTATCCTGAGTTATCTCTGTAGTTATGCTGCTATAGGCTTAGACTGCTGGATGATACACTGACCACTTTTCACACTCTACTACTTTCTTCTACAATCTGCTATTTTCTGCAATTTCAGCTGTTAACTTTATTTTTTCTCTAAGTGTTTTTCTCCCCAGAAGAAGCTACAATGATGTTCTGCTGAGTTGTGGTAGCCTCATGGAGGGGCCATCGTCTAGCACACTGCTGCTAACCACTTAAGCATTCTCCCTCTCCTGATAACATTTACTTTCTTTGACGTTGGATGTGCTGCTACTGGTTTACCTGTTTAATCATAGATTCACTAGGATAAATACAATTAAGTTCATCTCTCACCAAATAGAATATTTACTAAGAAATCACAATGTAACCATAGAAACATTACTTGGTGTGTGTGTGCGTGTGTGTGTGCGTGCGCGCGCACACATGGACGCTCGGTCTTCTCGATCCCCAGTGAGTCGTGGTGGATGGCAGCTTATACTTAGCCAGGATCCTCTGGAGGTTTCTTCCTGTTAAAAGGGAGTTTTCCTCTCCACTGTCGCTGCATGCTTGCTTAGTATGAGGATTGCTGTAAAGTCACTGACACTAGTCAGTGACTTGATGCAATTTGCTGGGTTCCTTATATAGGGAACATTTTTTTCTGATTGGCTTAAAGAACTGACCTGGTTTGGAATGTTTATTATGTGAAGTGCCATGAGATGACTC